CTGTACAAGGACACAGGTCTACAGGAACTACCTTAACAAGTGCCACTGCCACTTCAGTAAGAGCTTTCTGTGGTAGTGTGGAGCCAGCCTACCGCTGTGCTCTGGAAATATTTTCAGGCTGTAATAATGGAAAGCTAAGATAAGTTTTATTTCTTCCATTAATTCAATTCCAGAGAGAGCCCTTTGTTCTAGATAGGGTCAGTGGAACCAAAAATAAATTTACAAAGTCAAAATATTCAGTCCTTAGTTCTACACCCTCTCCATCTTTTTTATGAACACCACAAAGTTCCTTAACCTGACCACTGTTCCAACATGCAATAGCCAAAGCCACATCGCCACGGCAATCCTTTACGTTTCTTTATCTCTCTATCTTGATTTCTTCCTACCGATCCTCAGCTCACCTTCACTCCCTCCTGACAGTCACTGTTATGGTGACCTAAACCTTATCCAGGCAGTTTCTCCTCAGTATTTCCCATCAGTCCAGCCCACATCCCTGTTCATGAAGCAGCATTGATAGCTTCAACATTCTATTTTTAACCTTGTTGGAAGGAAGTAGAGGGAGGGTATGGGAGGCTTTGTGGGACAGTATTTATAAAGTCTACAATAGTGTACAAGTAATGTCTTAGGCCTTCACATTCACTCACCACTCACTCCTTGACGCCTAACAATGCATAACTCAGACTGTATCCCAGTCGTTAAGCGACACATGACTGTATTGTCACAATCAGATTCATTTTTATTAACCTTTTCTCCTGGTCTCAAAAATTTTGTTTCAAGGGCATTATAGTGACTGAATATCGTGTTTACTTTTAAAGGATTTCATGAAAAGTCCTTCATCCCTTCCACATTCCCATCCCCGCTTTTCCAGAGATTTCAGCTTCCCTTCCCTCCTACCTAGGCAACCTCTCTCTAACTGCCAAGTCTTCTCAAAGTCAAGATCCTACCTTTCTTGTTTTGTTGTCCACGTTGGAACATTAGAGAGCTAAATAAATAACAACTATTACACAGTCAGCATGAATGTGTTCAATAAATACCTGAGGTATTATCCCTAGACTTTAATTACACTGAATCTCTGGACATGGGATGTATAAACAGAGGGCTGGCTACAAAATAATAAAATTATATTTTGGCTGCTCTAAATAGGCAATAGGCTGTTAACATGAATGAATAGCCAAGGCGTTCCCATCCTCTTAAGAGCAGAGCTTCACCTGTCACTCACACCAGGGATCATATGAAAAGGCTAGGCATAGTTCAAAGACTAGCCCATCTAAGAGACATATAGATTGGTGGTTACTAGCAGGGAAGGGGGTCGGGGTAGGGCAAAATGAGTAGAAAGGATTGATGTATGGTGACCACTGAAAACTTGACCTTTGGTGGTGAGCACACTGTAGTGTATACAGATGTAGAATTATAATATTGTACACCTGAAATATATAATGTTGTAAACCAATGTTACCTCAATAATAATTATTTCTATTAACATAAAAAAAAAAAAGACTAGCCCACTATAATTTTCCTTCCCCTGCAACATCAACTACAGCCAAACTGCTAAAACCTCTCAGGTGAAATTCCTTAGCAGGGGTAGGTTGTGCTGCACAGTCCCTTCCCTGTGTAAATGTGTTGCTTCCTAATTATTATATAGATCTGGCTCTGTCTCCTTAACTGATCTCTAGGCTCCTAGAAAGTGCTTTTTCCTTCTTTTTTATTCCCTCACAATATTAAGTATTTAATCTGTGCTCAAGAATAACTCGTTTTGACTTGAAAAGCCACAAAAATGATCATTTCTGCCTGTAAGGTTTTGGCTAACTTTTCATTTCTTTTTTAAACTATTTATTATTATTTATGTCTATAGCACCTGGTCTTCCTAGGTGGTCTCCCATCTAAGTACAAACCAGGCCCAACCCTGCTTAGCTTCCAAGATCAGACATCAGGCTTGTTCAGGGTGGCATAGCCATAGACCATGGACCATGGCTCCACTGGGGTGTGAACCCAGGACCTTCTGTTTGTAAAGCAGATGTGCTAACCGCTACACTATGGAACCATGTCCTCGTTTCTTTTTTTAAATGTTTTCAAATTGTGTGTATAAAATATTTCCAACATACAGAAAAGAACCAAAAGATAATATAATACTTAAGAATCCAGTACCTGGATTAAACAGATGTTAATATTTTGTCATATTTTCATTAATCCTCTCTTTTGAGTTTTAATGTTAAAAACACAGAGAAAATCATCCCTAATCCTTCTCTCTCCCTCTACACTTCAAGATAAGCTATCTTTCAATTGATCAAGTTAATTCACCTCTCAGGTTTTTGACTACTATGTGTAGAATTATCTATAAACTATGTGTTATTGTTTCGTGTATTTAAATTTTTATATCCTCGCTGTTACTGTGTATCTTGCTGCAGCTTGCTTTTTTCATGAGATAGTCTATTTTTGAGATTCTTCTGTGTTGATATTGGTGAATCATATTCATTGATTTTTAGCTCCTGAACAGCAGTCCGCAGGTACATCCACTCATTTCTCTTTGGAGCAGCATTTTGGCCACTCACACCTTCTTGCTGTTTTAAGCAGTGCTGCAGTAAACATTCATAAACTTTGCTCCTGGTGCGTGAACTTCCCAGGCAGAGTTTGGTGGATAACAGCTTAGGCTCCCAAGCCCAGTTGCCCACTCCAAATCCAAGCCCCACCACAAAGTCACAACGGTGTGATCTTGGGCGTGTTACTTAACTCCTCTGTGCCTCGGTGTCCTCTTTAGTAAAATTAGGATAATGATAGTATCTCCTTGAAGAGAATAAAGCAGTGAGAAAAGAGTCGTACGCAAAGTAAACACTCAGTATATGACAGCAGTTGTTATTGGGGCAGACACCTAGGAAGCAGGTCTGAGGATCTTTGACTTTACCAAGGATTGCCAGATTAATTTACAGTTGGTTGTACCAGTTTACACTCTAACCAGCACTATACGAGTGTTTGTCTCCCACATCTTCACCAGCACTTGGTATGAACAGTGTGGCTTTCTAATCCTTTCAAATGCAAGAAGATAGAAGAAACTGAGACCATGGGTATTCTGATTCCAAGTATAGGGCTCTTTGCATCAAAAAGAATTGATAGTTATCTTAAATCTTTCATTCTCAACTCAAAACCTGAAGAGGGTCCCATCTTTCCCCAAGACAGTCACAACTTCTCTGTGTTTCAAGGCCTTTTATTAGTTGGCTCTTGACTCTTTCTCAAACTTATTTCCCAACACACTCTTAGCCACATTCTCACCACTCCACCACTAACATACCCTGGCTGATTTGTGAGTTTTCCAAGTTCGTTCTCGCTTCCGTGCCTTTGTTTGTGCCATTCCCTTCTCTTAGACTTCTCTCCATTCTCCATCATCTCTCTAGGTCCTGTTCAAGTCTTATACATTCAGTTGATCACTTCAGTGTGCACTCTGAACTACCGTACTGGCTGTTTCTTCATGAAATATGACTTAACTCATGAAGACTCACTACTTAACTAATGATCTTTCTCATGCTTGGAAATAATCAGCATTATCTGCAAATGGTGATTACATTGTGTGCTCATGCAGCCAAAGTTTTATTTAGCATTTTACGAAATGATGCAAAAGACTGTGTGCATATTCAATTTTCAAAATTTAATGAGCACCTTGGTAGAGAGATATCAAGAAGATCATGACTCCTGCTTTTGGGGAGCTGAAATTGTGTATAGTTAGGGCAAAATACTCATATCTATGCACAAGTTAAAAGGTCCTTTGCAGAGCAACATGTGAACAAATGCAAGTTCATATAACACTGTATGTATTTCTATGTTGAGGTGATAAAAAGGAATAAAAAGAATTAGGCGGAAATTTTCCAAAACAAAATCAGTGAAAAAGATGAACTTAATTCCATGGAAAAGAAGGAAGAAAACATTCTAGTACATGCAAGGTCATGGAAGTGCAAGCAAATACCTTATCATATTGTACTTGATAGAGCATATATTAGTAGTAGTAGTAGTAGTTATTAGTTTTAATATTCTCGTTTGATAGTAGGAGATGCCTGGGCATTTAAATTAACTT